AAGCTGGTGGGCTGCGGGGCCGCGCGAGCCGCAGGCTGCGCTGCCGCTCTGTGCTGCTCGCGGCCCGCAGCAGTTGCCAACGACAGGGTGCGGCCCGGGGCCTTGCTCCCTCTGCCTGTCACGCAATCGCACCCTGGTCCATGAGTTCACCCCCAGGACATGCCAGAGGTTTATCTGCTGCGGCACCGCGCGTGTGGCCTGGCCACACACCCGGCCCCAGGTGCGTGCAGGCGGCCCCTCACCCAGGTTGTGGATGGCAAACGTGCCGGTCATAGGGCCAATGGACGCCACTTCCAGGAACGCGCGCATGACCACGCCCGCGCCGTCGCCGTCCCCGCTGCCGCCGCGGACGCCTCCGCCGTGGCTGCTGCCATGGCCGCTGCTGCTGCCGTTGCTGCTGCCGTTGCCGTTGATGCTGCCATTGCTGCTGCCACTGCCTTTATTGCCGCCGTTGCCGCTGGCGCGGCCCCCGGCCGGGTCGTGCTCCGCGACCAGCTGCCAGGCCAGCGCGGTCACTGCCCCCACATCCAGCCGCCTGCCAAGGAAGGCGTTTGGCGCCAAAGTGGTCATGGGGCGGAGGCAGCACTAACAGCCGGCGGCGGCCCCGGCCATGCGTAACACAGGGTCTCTCCCCGGCCGCCCCGTTTAATGCGCGCCAGCCATTCCCCACGGGGGTGCTGCTTCTCCCCAAAAAGGCCCTCCTGCGATCCCCTCTGACCCTGCGGCTGCACCCTCAATCCCAGCCTCAAGACCCTGCCTGCGGCCCGACAAAACCCCAGAAAGCGCCATGCAGCGCGGCGCTCACTTGCGTTTCCGGGGCGGCCCGCCTTTCGTTTTCGGGGGCAGGAGGTCAATCAACATCGGCATGTCGAAGATCTGGACCCTGGGGGCCGCGCCCTCGGCGAGCCGCCACCCTTCCTCCGCCTGCTGCCGCTGCTGCTGCTGTTCCTGCTGCTGCTGCTGCTGCTGCTGTTGCTGCTGGAGACGACGGCGAGACGCGCCTCTCGCCTGCACCTCCTCCGCTGCCAGGGCAATGACCACCTTGCGCCCCCGGGTCCGCTTCTGCGGTGGCTGTCCTGCGTGCGCGACCTCCGCCTCCTGCTGCCCCTGCTGCTCGTGCTCCCGCTCCTGCTGCTCGTGCTGCTCCTGCTGCTGTGGGGCGGCCTCGATCGCGTCGCGGCCCCAGGACAGCACCGCTATCGCGCCGGCGCCGTCGGGGTCAATGCCCAGGAGGATGACTCTGGAGGGCAGGGCGGCGCCGCCGGCTGCGGCCGCGGCGGCATGCACCGCCGACGATTTATCGGGCGGCGCGACGTCGCTGCTGCTGCTGCTGGTGCTAGTGCTGCTAATGCTGCTGATGCTGCTGCATGTTTTGCTGCTGACACTGCCGTTGGTGGTAACAATGCTGACGCTGCTGGCTGCGGCACTGCTGACAGCCTCCAGGACGGCCGCGGCGCCCACCTCTGCACCGGAGCGGCGCCTCGAGGCTGCTGCAGCAGGCACTGGCTCGAGGCTGCTGCCCACGGGTGAGGCGGCGACTGCGGCAACCACTGAAGCCGCCTGCCCTGCCCGCACGGCCTGAGCCCGCACCGCACGCAACGCCGCTGCCGGCGGCAGAGACGCCGGCTTTGGCGCGAAGCAGCGCATCGGCAGCGGAGCACGCAGTACTGCAGTGCAAGTGCGTTGGGTGATTACGCGGATGAGCCAAGTCCCCGGCTGTGTGTTCTACATATGCAAATAACACATTTACCTGGCATCAATGATAGCACAGCGATCCTCATACGCCAACGTCAGATCATTGCAGATCTTCAAGGCGCGAACCGCCTGCTGCAACGTTGCCTGAACATGGTTGGCTGATACATGCACCTTCTACATACCATGCATTTCATTATGTTGACATGTCATGGCGCACTCACCTGGCTCACCGATGGTCAGGATTATGAGCCGCTGAGCTCCTGTGACGACCAGAAATTTATTCTCTGGGTGCGGAGTCGTTTTCGTTTCGAAGCGCCGCCGGGCCACCAATAGAAAGAGGTGCTGCCACGACGACGTCACACTGCACTGCACCGACGTTCCTGCTGCATCAGCCCCCACTTCCAAAGCTTGGCGCCCAGGGCGCCGCCCTCTCAATGCGGGCGCTACGCACGGCCCTGGCCTTTGCAGCCTGCTGCGCGCTCGCCGCAGCTGCGTCCACCGGAGCCGCGGCGGCACCCGCGGCCGCGGCCAAGGGGCAGCTGCAGAATGCAGAGCTTTCGCCAGGTGTTCGGATTGCCTGGTCCGTAGACGAGGCCAGCTCTGTCATCGACGTCCAATTCGCATTTGATGTGGACGCCAAGCAGCCGCCAGGCTACGTGGCAATCGGCCTCAGCCAGACGGGTGCGCCCCCGCGCTTTGTCATCCAGGCGTCGCCCGGGGCGCGCAGTCACACCCGCCAGCTGGCTCGCGCGCCGCGCGCCGCACCCAGGACCGCGCCGCATCGCGTGACGATATGTTGTGAACAGCCGGCTCAAAACTGCTGGTTGCAAAAGTGCTGGCTCCATTCGTTTGCAATTTGCAGGCGGCATGAAGGGGGCCGACATCTGGCTGCTGCGGCGCAACGCGACCACCGGCCAGTGGGCCCTCGGGGACTACCATGCAGTAGGTGGGCGGCATGGCATATTCGCGGCATCGCGGCGCCGCGCGGACGGGCCCAAACTCGGGCGACGGGAGAGGCAGGAGGTCCCAGCTCGCGGCGAGGGCCTGGGACCTCCTCCGGCTGCCTGTCTGCTGAGCGGGCTGCAGGCGCACGGCAGACAAATATAGTTCAGCAGGCAGGGTCCAGCCCCCGATTTTCTCCCCCACCACATTCGAGCACATCCGACTGCAGCGGCCTGGGCCCGTAATGCTTTGTGCAGCCAGCCCCCTTCCCCTGTCTCGCCTCCCATCAC